CTGAGCGGACCCGTGTACGCGGCCTCGCGCAGGGGGCCGGAGGGGGGGGGGGGGGGGCTCTAGCAGGACCTGGCGTTTTTTCCTCCGGGGCGCGCGGCCAGGCGGTAAATCAGGAGGGTTAAAGAACGCAGCATTTCAAGATGAAAACGGCAAAGCCGAATACGATAGGCGCACAGGAACGGAGCGGAGTGTGAAAGGAGCGTGGAGTGAAGCTGGCACAAGATAAGAGAGTTACTAGATAGTGGCAGTTCAGGGTTGGACTACAACGATAACGTCGTCTTAGTCTGTTATGTTTACAACGCCAGAAACGCTTGCAACTTAAAAGACTAAAATCACATCTAGGGAAACAGTGAGGTCACTTAAGGTCAAAACACTGAAGGTCACGAGATAGTCTAAGCGGATGTGTCCCGGCATTTTCATGCGAAATCTATTGGAAAGATGCGTCCGACATCGCCCTCCTGCTTTATTTTGGTCGTCTGGTGCCTGCAGAATTCAGCGCATTCATCATCACACCAGTTTCTAGCAATGCATAGTAGAGCCCTCGCATCTGCCCCTCTCTTATAGAAATCGCTACCGCCGCATGTTTGGCATGTGTCACATGGTACCCGTGAATGCGTACAAGGAAATGGTTGTGGCGCCAAACGAATTTTGGCCTCATTTCTTTGCACGCAACGCTTGGGTTGCTGTCATGTTTTTCCAGAGACGCGGCGGGCCATGTAACCTCCGCTTCCGTGACGCCTCCGACGTCACGCAACAAAACAATTGCGTGCAGGTTTTGCGCAGCCCGCCAATCAAAGACGCCGCTCTGCACACCCTCCGCTGCGGGGCGTGACCTCTGCCCGGCGCGTGCTCCGGTGACTGCCGGCGGCCCCGGCGCGGCCCGCCAGCGCCCTGTCACCCGCAGCCCGCGCGGCGCGCGCGCCGGTCCGCCGCCTGATGGATGATACCGTCGGCAGCGCGACGCTGGTGTCCGCTGTCCCGTCCCGGGACAATCAGCCGGTCGGCGGAAGAGCCTAGTACGGCGAAGAAACGAGGCGGCGATTAGCGCAGCGACGGACAGGCCAGGGTCGCGGCCTACCTGACGTGGGGCGGCGGGCAGGGACGAAACGCCTCGGCGAGTGTGGGGAGGGGCGGAGGAACCAGTAGAAACAGAGCAGTCGAAAAATATTTTGTTTGGAATGGTTTGAGCAAAGTTTATGTTATCCCGAAAAAGTGTTAGCCTGAGAGCAGTTAAGCTTGCGCGTGACTGAATGCTGCCCTGATTGCATGCCAGATTGCGTTCTGTGTAATTTTAGTCATTCATAGCACAAGTAACACACATTTTGGTAAACACGCAGGGCCTGCACACTGTTTCAAAGGCTTCGACAGCCTGTGTACAAGACGTCCCTGATCTCCTTCCGTTTATCAACAAATGATGGATTAAAAATGGTTCTGATGCTTGAAACTTAAAATAAGTATTATGAGTTACGTTAATGCGTAAGCAAGCTGTGCCTACGGCTACGAGTGCTCGTGGCCATAAGCACAGCTTGAAAGGTCGAGTTTTGTGAATATTGCACATGCTTGGTTGCTAACATCGCTAAGTAGCACTTCCTGGCTGATCGAAAGGTCAGATAAGAGCTCCCGACTCATGCTGCCAAGAAATGCTGTTCACAAAACTCAGATACAATCACACCGCCGTCTTTAAATGTATGCATCATGTCTGACCATCCGGAACCTCTTCGGTGTTACAATAAGCAGTACAAATGTAGTATTCAGTTCACGCATGGATCGTTGGAACGTCGAATTGGGCTGGTTTCTGTTACAATAAAAAGGGACACGAAATTGAAATACACACATATATACATGTATATATATATATATATAAATGTGTGCATATATATATATATATATATATATATATATACATTTATGAATGTTTGCACGCATAGAGCGATACAAGTCGGCCTATCAATTTTACTGTTTGAATAGATATATCAAACCCAAATTTAGTTATCGTTACGCTGTTCATCTTCCGGGTAATGTTTGGGCTACGTAAGAACACAGGCACGAAACAGGCCACACGTTGATAAGCCTAACGAATAGGTGCCGGCCTGGTCTACCAAACGACGGTCAAACTATTCTTATTTCCTCGTAGCATTGCAAGTTAAGCGTCATGATTTATCTATTAGCGACCTTTAATATATCAGAAGGCACTGGTTAAACGGCTCTATCAGGCGAGCAAGTGCTATATCACCAACACCCGACGTTTTAAGGGGTGCGCACGATTATGGGTGTCGACTTGCATTCTTTGGTGAGGGCCCACCCAAGTGCAGAGTTGCCCCCTCCACCAATGTCGGCTTGGGCTTCCCAATATTTTTGGCTCGAACATTACAAAATGTAGGAGATGTTGGCCACCGCACAAAGGCTCTCTTCTTTGATCCTTTTACGTAATGGCGTCGCAATGGAGGGTGCAGCTGGGTAACTTGACCACGCAACCGTAAAATTACATCCTGAAATAAGGGTAACTTAGGTAAGCTGTTTAACATACCATGCTATAGTTTTTTCGTCCGTCAAACGTAAGTCCAGACTCTTCCCCCCTTCCCTCCACAACTGGTCATGACATTGGCGTCGATGATTCACCGCTATCGTGGACTTTTATGCCAGGCACATTTGACCTTCTACCCATGATGGGCTACGAGCTTAGCATTGTTGTACTTGATGTCGAGACAGGAATAACTGTGTTATAAGCCGTCATGAGAAAATCAAAGCGGGTAACAGCGAGGCATCATTAGTTCACAATATATATCTAGTTCAGATACGAGATGGGAAACAATGTGGACAGCAAACATTTTTCTGAGACCAATTTTTAATCCGGTTCCATGCTGAGCATAATTGCTCGCTAGCAATCTGAATTTACCATCTCATTATTTTAATGCATCCCCAGCAGATCCATTTTGCCTGGGCCCCTCCTCCAGATAGAACGAAAGGGTATTTGCCGTGCCATGCGACTACACCTTGAAAGCAGTCACGCATAGTTCAACTCGGATAAACGCGTGACATTACGAGATGGAACTGTGATATTGTTTTTGACATCCCATACGCTTTTCGGGGCAATGTGCGGAGAAGTTTGAGCTTCATCTGGAGTCCTGTGACTAAAAACTTTCTATCGTTTAGCCACGTTCTGTTAGTACTGTTGGAAAGTCAACGATTCGGGATGAAATCAGACTTTCGGACTGTAAGGAAGAAGTGCATCACCATGCGCAGCAGAGAATAATACTTTGCAATGCTGCGCAATGCTACACATTCAAATCAAGCTTATTTTGCAGGCTGGCCATTTATTACCTTGTTATGCTGACGAAGAACCATGCAAAAAGAAAGTAAAATGGCTTACATAATATGACGTACATTCATTCAATGGAAATTCTGCTCACCTCAGGCGCGTAACAACAATCCAATCATAAACATGCATGTGGTGGTTATTAAATAAGCACATGAATTTTCTTCACCACAGTCAAAACAAGCTCATCATTACAGTTGTTGCAGCGCATTTCGGCATCTAATTGGAGCAGTTTGCTTTGAGCTGCAGTTCCACGCAAGCATTTGCCAATATGAATTGTTCACTTTGACCCATTGAACATAATTGAGCACTGTTCGGTATTATTAGCTATGATTATATTGTTCATTACAATTGTTGATGCTGTGACATATTGGAATTTATAGGTGCGGTACGACGTCAAAATTAAACCAAAGCTTCGCACTTCGGTCGTGTGTCACGCAAAACTTGTGACTGAAATAAAGCTGTAGTTTTCCACAGGAAGGGGGAGGGGGTGGCGCTGCGTCCCTTATTGCCGGACAAAATAGAATCGGAGCAGGTTGTGTAATTTGACCGGATGGCTTGTCCCCGGAACCCCGTAACTGGACCTGTTAACGAAGCTGGATTTTCACCGCTCACAGACGTAAGACAGATGTGTCTGTCGTATAGAGCATTCCACCACTAGCACACCCTTCCCCTTGTTATAAAAATTCGTGTTTGCTCTCACCACCAGATAAAAATCGTTTCTGCTGAGCGGATAAACGATGCAATAAATTTGACACACCTGGGGCCGTAAGACGCGCAGAGGTTTGAGAGGTGAAACTGAAAAACTCTGAAGTGTGGAAATGACCGAGGTCCCACGTGACTAACCCCATCCTGGTCCCCACAGCAAGAACTATGTAATGCTGTCCATGGCTGCCATAGAGGAGTGCCTTCGGTGCCCGAAGGTGGTCCCCATAAGGCGGGGGCGTCTTCATTATCAGATCAGAAGATACACGTGCCTATAATGTCTCGCCCGTCCCCTTCCACTCTAGATCCGCCCGTGCATGAATATTACGTCGCTATAATTATATTATTTTTGAAATGATGCACATTTGTAAAATATGCATTGCCTTTCGTGAAAACAAATTGGGCCGTATCCGTTGAGAAAAATGGGTGGGGGTGAGGGGTGAGGTTATCGGACCGTCGGCTGGACCTTCCAATCATTTGCAACAATTGACACCACTTCTGACGATCACGAGTGAATCTACAATCACATATAATGTGTGTAGTAATCTTATGGCCACTTGTTATCACTATTATACTATGGAGCGTCGAGCTTTGACAAAATAGCCAACGTTTCGTTGAAAACGTTGTTTACTAATATATTCTGGTATGCTAAAGGCTGAGAAATGTTAGAAGAATCCGGAACTCATGATGTGGAAGAGTAGGAGCTGAAGGCCATTCTTGCTTATATTAAGTTCCTGACCGCAGTATAATGCAACAAAGCCAGGCTGTAGTAAGCCAGTGATATTACAAGCCAACCATCACATAATGCCCACGGCAGGAAGCGAGTGAGTGTACACAGATAAGCACATCACGCATTCAAATGGTACAGTCGGCCCCAGAGGTGTCGAGACGAACTGTGCCAATTATCATGTGAACTTGATGTTTGGCAGGTGTCTTCGCATCAAATGTCACTGAGACTGACCTTTCTCTGTGCTTTCAGACTTTTGGCGCCTGGAAAACATGCAGACAAGGGACCACATCTTACACCTAGACCTGAAAACGTTAGCGCGGAACAAAGTGCTCCTTTGGGCGACCGTCTTTTGCCTGGTGACGCCTATTCAGTGGACTCGGTCAGAGGACGGGTAAGAACATCAATAATAAATAGGCGTGAATAGTGCTGTGCATAGTGCATAGTCACATTAGTCGTCTGTTCTCTTCTCTCCTTCTGCCCCCCTCTCTCTCATTTCTCAATTTCTCTTCCTCCCTGATCCCCTCTCTCCTTCCCCTGTCTACCTACCTCTCTTCGTCGCTCTTGCGCACCTTATGTGAGTGTACTTAGTCACACCTGTTTTGTGTGTTCGTTACGCGTGTACTTAATTCCATTATCATTTGTGTGGGAGATGGACATAACTTGTGATTGGGCCTGTCAAGCAAAATGGTTTGAATTACAATAGTACAAACCTGTGACATCTCTTAAATTACACTGATTGCTTCTTCTTGGCTTGCCCTCGCTCTACCCTTCACCGTGTTCTGCTATTTTCGGGCTTTAGGATGGACCACAAAGGAATCTCTGTACGACTGAGGTGCTGGCATTGTGATGTCCCATTCGTGGAGTAGCATTGTGGGACAGTAGGCCCCAACCTCCTGTGTATAATTGCTGGTCTGATCTGCTGTCCTTATCTCAATATTAAATCATTTGACTATAAAGTCAATCACATTGCGCAAAAAGCGTAATGATTTGTCTTTCTATAAATTTGACGTGTAAGTTGCAGGCCTGCCCAAATGGCCGTGAATATGTGTGATATTCATTCAAAGTTCTATAGTTCCAACATACGGCAAAGGATGCGCGTTTCGCCTGGTAAAGCGTCATTTCACTGCAGCCGTTCAGATATGGCTGCCATCTTCCTTGCGAGGCAAAAGTTCGCGGCGCGCTAACGTCACCTGACAAAGTTCGCGGCGCGCTAACGTCACCTGACAAAGTTCGCGGCGCGCTAACGTCACCTGACAAAGTTCGCAGAGCGCTAGCGTCAGGTGACAAAGTTCGCAGAGCGCTAACGTCACCTGACAAAGTTCGCGGCGCGCTAACGTCACCTGACAAAGTTCGCGGCGCGCTAACGTCACCTGACAAAGTTCGCGGCGCGCTAACGTCACCTGACAAAGTTCGCGGCGCGCTAACGTCACCTGACAAAGTTCGCAGAGCGCTAGCGTCAGATGACAAAGTCCCGGCAAACATTTTAAGATCTGCCGCTACCTTGCAGGGGGGAGGGTGGCGTTTGGGCGGCGAGAAAGTCAAGGGTTCAGCTAGCACACTCATCTTAAGCGCGCGATTAATTTGAGCATATCTTTCTTCCATAGCGTTGTTTCTTTGGTATTCTTAAAAACGCAAGCTTGTGAATTTATGTCCTATCCTCTCCACCCTGCTCGGTACTAAACTGCCGTAGACTGCACTATCCTGTAACGCCCTGTGCTGCCATGCTTTGAAACAAAGTGGTTCACAAGTTTTCAGGGGGGACAGCTGCATCACTGGATGCTGTTGCATAGTTTGGTAAACTCGTGACATTCGTCCCTCCCCATCTCCCCCTGATTTAACTTTGCACGCCGATAGCGAAATCTTGGAAGCATCTCCCGCTCTGGTCTTGCGCATCCTTCCAGTCCAGCCGAGCCCATCCCAACCAAGCCAGATATCGAACAGCGCTGCTGTTGCCCGCCTTCATGGCATTGATTATGGATCTGATCCCGTCGCAGCTCTAAAAAAGATGAGATGAATTTGGAGACGGATTGAAGAGCGCTGAAATCTATTGCCTCGGCAACGATTTCAAATGAGGCATCAGCTGTCTGCGCGCAACTGGCTCACTGACGGTGGATTACATTGGACGTTTATTTTATGGAAAAATATCCAGGATATTGGATATGCATAATTGACGATGATCCTATGCATCAAATTACTAACAAAAGACTTGCGATTAATCCGCCTACACCAATTAACACATCTGTCCTCTGTCTCTTTTACATGACAACAAATGGAGCCAAAAAAAGACATATGAATGAACTATGTCTACTACCATGTCTACCACAATGTTCACAATGTCTACCATGAATATTTACCGCAGCCTCCTACAAACTCCTCTGAAAACACCTTTCATTTCTGGGGAGACTGGAGGAGATTTGAGGTGAGCCTTGAAGAGCTTGGAGGAGGTTGCAGGAGCCACGGAAACGATCAGATTTGTTTCGAAGAGCTTTGAGGAGGTCAGAGAAGCAACAGGAACAACCCTATGCTGGCTGCCGTTTGAAGGGAGTGTTTCACATTCACATGGGGTTTTAAGACGAAATAGCCATATTAAAGATACTTCGGTGCTGTTGACAATCCTGTCTTCTTAAGACCTAAGCCCTTCTATCTTCTAAGCTACACGCCCGCGAAAATGGAGAAAGGTATATTGGGGAGAGTATTTAAAAGTCATGTTGTCATTCATGGCGTCATAATAACGTCGTTCAAGTTTTCCCATTCCATTAGCCACGAGGTGATCAAGACCAAGAAAAATTAATTGTCGAGGCGTTCATGTCTGGCTTTCGTGATCGCGATTTCCAGATATAACGGCCGTCGATTTGCTCTCAATCAATGTTGTGCGAAATACGATGACGTAATCAAACCATGACGGATTGAGGGGCATATCTACTAAACAGAGAATTTTGCTGTCTAGGGCAGTCTTTTCCACTTAAAAATTACATTGATTGCTGTAAGTGAGCTAGTTTCATCAAATCTGATGCTTGATTCAATATTTTCAACTATGAAACATTTCGTTTGATGCAGCCATTACACGAGGGCGCGCTGGCTCAAATGGTCGAATATTCTCCTATCAGGATCGCATCACAACTACGAAGGTGCTTGACCTCTACACACTCATTTGCAGTCTTTTTGCCTAGAGGATATCAGCGGCAGTTAATAACACAAGTCATGGATAAGACAGAAGTAATAGCCATATTCTTCGGAGAAAAACTAGTTAAATGGAGAAATAGATGTACTGATATTTCGGCAACATGCCTTTATCGAAAGGAAGAGCGAAAGTGAGAGCGATAAACATTGAGTGATCTTCGTTTCGATAAATGCATGTTGCCAATCAACGCATCTATATCTCCATTCTCCTGGCTTTCCTCCGAGGAATTAGGCTATTACTAATGTCTTATCTATGTGAATAATGTTCCTCGCAAATGCAATTAAAAACTGGCATAATAACACAACTTAATGCAGGAGAAGTGAATGGAGCTATTTTTAACCCACGCTCAAGTAGTGTAAACCAAATGGGGTTGGCAGAGTTGTTCCGGGACCTGTAGCCGTCGCTCAGCTTTTTAAGATACTTACGTGCCTTAAAGTGATGTCCTGGTTCATTCCCCATCTGATTATGTAGTTGCGACCAGGGTTGGTTACCACCACGTGGTCTTAGGGTCGGGAGCTATCCGAACAGCCGATTTTGTGACCAGCTGATGGCTAATGAATAACGCAGGGTCTCATAATTGACATAATTTTGTATTGATGTGGACAATGTGTCCCCTATCTTTAAATTTAGTGAACTAATTGGTGTTCATCGTGAATATCAGGTACAAAGTTAATTTATTGAGACCTCGGTCAATTATTTAAGGTGCGCGGATGCTTACTAAAATTTGCAAACATTTTGTCAGATTGTGCAGTAGTCACATTTCCCTCACTAACATCTCACTACACTGCAAAATGAGTAAACTGATCGGCTATTGGCCGTAGCCATCAGATGCCGCAGCGGTCATGACTTTCCCTGAGACCAACAATCGGTTACTTTTCCTCCAGCTTTAAAGAGGATATGCCACCATTTATTGCTAGATCAGATGCGTCCGAGTTGATCTTTTTTCAAAAACCTTCTGAAAACCTCTGAATAACTTCTTGAAGTAACTCCTCCAGCGAGAGAAATCTCGCTTAACACTCTGCTCACCACTATAAAAATAAAACTGTTCACTTTCCTTGTTTTTTTAAACGTGTGTGTTCTGTATGGTTCGCAGTATACGAATTCCTCGATACGATTATGCAGTAAATGCTACGAAAGCTGGAAACACTTTGTTTCGGGCAAAACACGTACGAACACGATGTTATCAACACCAGAACTCCACGAAACATTTCACTACAGTTTTGATTTATCACTCCGGCGTTTAGCACAGTACTCTTTCCCAAGCGCGTTTTGGATTTGGGAATAATGCATGATCTAAATTAACGCGCTAGTTAAAAGTTCAACTGATATATTTATCGATCAATGGGCTTCGCCTCCTGCCATGCCAATCACAATAGTTTCTTGTAGTGACGTCCTTCGTGACGATGGAGGTGCCACTTTTAAGCCCGCAGACCCGCAGGGGTTAAACCAGCCCAAAAGTGCCCCATGTGGTCCATAACAGCAGACGACGGACGACCATTAGCAGATTATGCTGCCTTTTTGGTGGCAGTTGTCATGACGACGGCAGTCACAACAACTGCGATTGTTGTAGGCTAAGGATACACTCTGGGGCTGCGTAGAAAATATGTACAGTGCTGTGACGAAACGTTGAAAGTATAATTTGAACTGGAAATGATTAAAATAAATTTCCGGATGTTCTGGTTCTAATGTATTCGAACATTTTCCTAAGAAACTTTAGAAATTTTGTGTCTTGACGACCACTGCAACGTGCACTTAATAATTGTGCCTTGGTGACTCTAACGCACCAGCGTTATAGGCCTTACATCGTACCTACGCGTAGACTTCAAATCAGATTTGCTCCAAAAAACGTTTAGGGGGCCAACCAAGTGAACATTGAGCGGCGTAAGACAACTATGAATCAGGCGCATTTTTCGTTGTCTCGCTCACTCCAGCCATGTAGACATTTTGGTGATGTCCTTTCCTAAAACGTGATTTTGTGTCATCGAACGTAGTTTTATCAGGAAAGGAGTGATCGCTTACAATTCAAACAGCTTACTGAGTGCCTTGATGAATATGCCGCTTCGGGACTTCAACCCTTTTATGGTTTTAAAACCCCTTCTCTTCACAATTTGCTCCTGCTTCTGGGTGTTACAGACTCAGTACCCAACTATTCACAATGGTCGTTCACTATAACTTAACTTTTCACTCGGCTTGGTGAAAAACCGCGTGCTTCTTTTGAAGGAAGCGTCCCACCGTTTTCACCATTCACTCATGGAAGCGTCATGCATCAGAAGCGTCCAATTTGGTCCATAATGCTAATTTTCTCCAAAGTCCTCTGAAAAGCCTACAATTTTGATTTCAAGTAGCAGTTTCCACCGAAGGAATGCCATTATCTCCCTGTTCACCACTGTGAAACACATAATTTCTACTTGCTTGCCTTTTCCTAATGTGTGTGTTGTGTTCCATACACCAATTGATCAAAATGTTCGCGAAATAAATGGTGCAAGAGCTTAATACTCTCTATTTAGGGAACAAAATAAACATGTGTGAGGCACCATCACGCAAATTCAACGAAACGTCGCACAATGGCTTTAACCTTTTCCCGATGACGTTCAACACAATGAGTCTTTTCGAAGGATGCTTTAGTTTTGGAAAGCAGTGTTTGCTTAGACGTCCAGCTCGTTGCATGGTTGTGTTTACAAAACGGGTATGTACTTTTGCCGATCACAAATGGTGCACGTCTCGCTAAATGTATACGTTGCCCGCTGTGCCAACCGTAAACGTTCACTTCTTCTAAGGGCATTAATCTTAATAAATCCACAGATGCCCAAATACCAGCGTGATTGTGAAGGTAGGAACTACCACGTAATGAATGTGAACATGTGTGACTGCCCTGTACCACAAAATAGTTACATCCTGATCAACCCGGCTTTACCTGACATTAAATTATGGCGCCCATCTTAAGCAACGAGTGATGTGAAAGGGACAAAGTAGAATTGGGATGTGATAAAATCAAAATCAGGAGAAATGGAACCCAAAACTGGTAATTTTGCATGGGAGATGCAAAGCCGTGCATCCGGCGGAAAATATGGGGGGAGGTAATGACAAGTCTTCTGTGATAACTTGGGGAACACGTTTTCACTGATTCCCCCATCCCCTTGGTTGGTCAACCCCTGACAACCATGGAAAATGAATGGAATATGAAAAAATAAGCGGGTGCTATGTGGGGAGAATGCTTTCGATGAAAAAAACAAAATGTCAATCGTTGGACACTTCTGGAAAGACATTCCAAAGTGACAACGGGATTTTGGAACACTGAACATATTGCAGAAGATTCAACAGTTGCAAAAGACAAAATAATTTCAATAAAATTGATAGAAAGACAGCAAAAATCCATGCAGTCAGGTTGTTAGCACACCTTTGTCGACTTTGTTGGTACCCACATCGTTATATCGATGAGAACCATGAAGTGAGTGGAGCACTGTGAACGTACAAAAGCAAAAATCACGCTTGGCCATGGACAGTTCATTAACACACTGGATTCTTAGTCAGAAGCCACAACCATTTGCTTAAAAAGGTAGGGCACCCATAATTTGTATGCAGGGATGCAATAGTAGTGTGCGTTTCAATGAAGCTACGTAATTTTATTTGGACTCGGTGAGGTACCTGTCTTCCACAGTCTAGTTCCTCATGCCCCTGGGTTAAGTATATTTATATTTATCCAGCATAATTTGTGAGCCAACGAGCCATACTAAGGCACTGAGCTAGCAAATGCAAATGGGCAACGTCACAATGTTACAACATTTACCCGATGGAGCAACCCATGTTAGTCATGATTGCAACATCACAACATGATTATATATTTTATCTAAGTCTGTTCAGTGTTTCACTTCCAGAGTTTTCAGAAACCCAGAGAAGAAATGGGTATTGAACGCTTCATTGGTACCAATGAGACAGAAGACTCGCTTTTTGACAAAACTGTTTCCTTCATTGTTTGGATGTTACCAATGATTCATATTAATATTGATACTAAGCCACAATTAGTGACTGCTGTCTTTAGCCAAAGGTTTCAATACAGGCTTCAGATGATGTTTTTCTGTAACCATTATCCAACATTCGGTGAGATCCAGCCATCCCGTGTTGAGGAGGACTTAGCGGTATTAACATCTTGGTACCCTGTCTTCGCGATTCACATTATGTGCACGAAATTTAAAGAGCGCCCAAAAAAGTGCGCCTGATGCTGGCGAACGTTGCCTTATGTGCGCAAGTTTTGTCCAATGCCCGGGATGATAATTGGGCTACTAAAGGAAGAAAAAGTGCAGTGTGGTTCTGAAATGTTGACCACACATTTTTTGCTGAGAAATATTTACTTTTGGTAGGTACATAATAGATATATAATAAGTATATTCAGCTAGAAATAATGCTTGTTTGCATACACTACCCTGTTGGTGATACAGTTGTGCTCCCCACTTCTACTAGTATTAATGACACGTCCCAATGATTCACCAGGGCATGTCTCTGAAATATGATGCAATGACGGGACACTTTCTTTAACAAATAGCCTTGTAAATGTGCACAGCGATGCCATATTCAGCCGTCCTTGTTGCCCCACATATGTAATTGATCCCTCGGCACGGATTGCTGACAGCTGTACCACAAAGCCTTCATGTGCGTTTCAGATTATATATTTTTGCTTAGCTAAGAGATGTTCTCTCTGATGACAATGACCAGAAACATGGAATCGGGATTGCTGAAATCCTACGTTCTTCTTAAAGGGAATGTTTCACATTTGAAGATAGTAAAACATCACATATGATGGAACAAGCTCACTTATAACGATTGGTATACTTAAGTTGTGTTCGCGAGGAACATTGTTCACTCCTTTAATGAGCGGGACACTCACTCCTTTAACGAGCGGGAAGCCACCGAACCGCAATGCCGTCATCCGCCATTGTCCGCCGTCGCGTCCGTTGTCAGTCATATCAAAACGCGAGGTCATAATCGTGCACAGCAAGCGGAAGCTAGAATCAAAGCATGACATCAAGGGAAGCCTGGAGAGGCGACAGTGGTCCGTACGCTGGCAGTGGAGTCGATGGAGGGTGAATGAGTCTGGATGAGGAGCGCACTTGACCAGAGAGGTCTGCGTCTCCTCCGCGTGATTGCTGTGTCCTGGTCACGCGCTCAATTCCCGTGCCCAGCTGTTCTGTCGTCATTGCGGCTTTACGATGCACTCAGCTGCGGAGGCTTTATGGCGTCGCCTGCCCTACCATAACTGTGCATACCGAGCTATTTACATAAACAGAGAGCTAGCGGCCCAGCAATGACTGGTTCGAATATGCGACATTGGGCATGTGACCACCGCGGGCCGTTTGATGTATCGTCATGCTAATGGCCTTGACATTTTGATACCTTGCATGTGATCAGTGATTATCTTTGAAAATGGGGTTGTCTTCGCCTTGCGTTCTTTTGTGCGTCCTTATAAATGTCTGAGGCGAGTAGTTCATTGTGTGTGTTGATGTGGAAGTATTTTGACTAAACTGCAAGGAATTTTCTTTCAGACCTCTTCGATTTGAAGATTTGAAGTCATGCTAATGACCTTGACATTTTGATGCCTTGCATGTGACGGGCGATTTATCTAAAAAATGTGGCCGTCTTCGCCTTGCGTTCTTTTGTGCGTCCGTAAATTATGTCTGGGGTGAGTACTTAATTGTGTGTGTTGATGTGGAAGCATTTTCACTCACCTGTAAAGAATCTTCTTTCAGACCGCTTCGATTCGAAGATTTCCTCCCACCCGAGGTTTTCAAGAAATATGACAAGATGAAACCTCCAAAGACTGAAGGTCAACCGACGAAAGTTGACTTTCATGTCACAGTAATGCAAATAGACTCGATCAACGAGAATTCCATGGTAAGCCAGTTCATAATTTAGATACTCTTCAGCTACAAATAATATCTGGCGTTTTCCAGATGTGTTGTATTTGTTTATCAGCTTCTATCATGCTTTACAAACCCATGTCCGAAGCGCGTTGCGCCAGTCCATCAGCTGTGTCCGTATCTTGCGGCACCGAAACTAGCGGAGCGTTTTTACTGTCTCGTTCTCCGCACCCCTTGACCCTGGCATGAGCCTGTCTGAGACAGCCGGAGATTCATCGAAAGTAAATCGCTAGACGATGTCGATTGCTGCTTCTCCCCTCCCCCCCCCCCCCCAGGTGTTTTAAAAAGACACTTTCGTTTTGGCTGCAAACATTTGACAGTCGAGAGCCGAGAATGATGAATTTACAACCTCAACATTTTCCGACCGGACGGTTTGGTTGAGTTCCGGTTCTGTTACGCTTCTTCCCCCATGTTATGTTTAGTATTATTGTCGTTATCTTCTCTTATTAAATGTGTTATTTTATGAGTTTTTGACCATACTGATAATTATTGCACATCATTTATACATACATACATATATATATATATATATATATATATATATATATATATATATATATATATATATATGTACACATATATGCAATTATCATTGCTCTTATTCTCTCGAGATATTCTGCCCACTGCTCCCAAGCGCGTTTTGAGATCATATTATGTTTACTGATCCTTGGGTTATGTTTTTCCCTAAACTCTGATTGTTAAGATACGTGTTATGCAATAATGAACTGTGCAGGACAACTAAGTACTACTCCTGGGTTTGATAATGCGCCATGCTGTTTTCAGACATATGTCGCCGACATATTTTTTGCTCAGTCCTGGAAAGATCACAGACTTCATCTTCCGGAAAATATGACATCAGATTACAGGTACGTTGCCCTGTGAGACGACAATCGTGGCTAATGGTTACATGCAACCAGGGTTTAGTATTGACATTAAGCATGACGTAATATTTTGGACCAGCTGCAAAAGTGACGAGAGAGGCATCGCCGCTTGTAATGGAAAGCTAGGTGCAATTACAGCATAGAAAAGGTCCCCGTGCCCTAGCGCGCCTTGGAAGGTAAGGATCTTGCACTGCCATGCGTCATGTACACTGTTACGCGTCACATGCACTGCTACGCACCACATACGCTGAGTGAAACCCTCAAGTGTTCATTGACAAGCCAGATACCGACAGTTCATTTCTGTGATTTGACTTCGTTCCCTTAATGCAATTGCTGAATGGAGCACTTTCGTTAAGTTATCTTTGCTTTTCTATCCTGTTTACAATCAGAGATAAGAAGGCACATTGGTTGCGTCAATTGAGCTTTATTATTTGGTTCAGTGGAAGGGGAGGACATTCGTTATTTGGTTTAACTTTAGGCGCAAATGGCCTTCAGCAAGCTAGGAAACACTGGCGCCCTTTTTGGCCCTTTAGCCCTTTTGTGGTCCCGTAAGGAAGTATACCTGCTCTGAGGTCGCCAGCGGAGACTGGAATCAAAGCGTGACATTGAGAGAGGTCTGGAGAAGCGACAGTGGTTCCTACGCTGGCAATGGAGTCGATGGAGGGTGAATGAGTCCGGATGAGGAGGGCACTTGACCAGAGAGGTCCGGCGTCTCCTGCGCCTGATTGCTGTGTCCTGGCCACGCGCTCAATTCCCGCACCCAGCTGTTCTGTCGTCATTGTGGCTTTACGATCCACTCAGCTGCTGAGGCTATATGGCGTCCCTGCCTCTCACACTGTCAGGAAGGGCGGACACCACGGGAACAGCCAGATGCTCTGCTGGTCTGAGAAAATGTCTGGTGGGGCCAGGCCACACTGTAGTGTAACACATGTTAGACAATACAGACAAATGCCATTTAAAAGCTTAGATTGGAGCAGCGGATCCGCCACCAATTTCCGATAGGGTGGCGAGACTGTAAAACCATCACGACGCTTAACTAAAAATAACCCTATCGAGCCGCAGCGGCGAGGAACCGCCTCCCTGCTGCTACGCGCCATTGCAAAAACTGAAATGAGTGAGAAGTCTTTCATCAGAGAGCTTACCTAGATTAACCAACTGGCCGTGACGTGCAGGTGTTAATTGTGTCACAAGTCACGCATGTTTTATAACACTGTATGTGTTTCGCTGGCATTGCGTCTCATTTGCATGTGTTACGTGTTCGGTGTTGATCTATGTAGTATGTACTGACGCGGCGTTAGAATAGCCACTCGCTGGATTTCGCCAAGGTTCGCAATAATAATAATAATAATAATAATGGGGGCGAGGGGAATCATGCGCTCAATAACTGACATTCTCTTGGATAATCAGTGCTATGAAAATCCTCTTGTGCTTGCGCAAGATCTCTGTGATGCATAGAGACACGGGAACCGGAGATGAAGGCAGGGGCTGAGACCAACAACTTCCCGAAAATTTAACGTTGTCTCCGTGGGCGTTGACTGAAAAAAAACAATTAACCATGATTTCCTTTCCCTCTCATTGTAGAAGGATTGACAGGTAGTTTCTTCCATGCCGGGGAAAAATCCTATCGTACTTTCGTAGCTTCCTCTCAGCAGTCGGCACAGTACATACTGTCACGTAGACTAGTTGCCCAGCTGATGTTTCAATGTCTAAACGTGTTTGTGTTCAGTGGAAAAACTTTGCAGTTTGATGTTTTCTATATTTCATCGTCCCACAGCTACGCTATTGCTGGGACGCCCGATCCGAAAATATTGTTATTTGTATATCGACAAATTATAACAGAATGTAAATCTGACCATTTATTATTGTGCCCACAAAAACATCCAAACTACACACTACTTAAGGATCACAGAATTCACTTACACCTTTCAGGTGTGTACCACCACCGATTATGGTGCGGCCCTTAGCGCAGCCAAATATTCTTTGACGCGATGCGTGTGAACTCGCAAAAGTGACTGCACCATGACCTGGATCCGTTCGATCCAGACGAAGGCGATATACGCGACATAATGCTGCTGCGTTGATCCAGTAACAGTGTGTTGAAGACGATGCGCCGACACACACACTACTGATGCATCACCATTAAGCCCAGGAAGTTTCCATCCTTGCCGCGAGCTGAAGCTACATTCAGCTGCGGCTGAACCGACGGGGAGGGCCATGATAAGGCAATCAAGTTTGACGACTTCAAGGATGAGATCCTGCGCGTTGTGCTTCTCATCGCGGAGAACAGACGGAGAGGGCGGGGGGGGGGGGGGGGGTCATATTTACCTTGGTAAATAGCAGGAGGGCGGTGCCCCCTTGTCGCTCTGGTAGCGCTGCCCCTGGATGTCCCGTAGCGTAGGTATGCACAACTTCTGCGCGACCAGGAACAAGTATGCTGAAAATGTAATGTAATGTATGTCTGTAGGCTTCAAAAGAGGAAAGAAATGAAGAAAGGGTTACATGGTCTTTTGGTTACACGAGTGACGCTACAGCGTAATGGACTTAAAACAAAATGCACCTAAGTTGTATGTGTTAATGTGCAGCCCACGTTAAAATCCCGTGGCCGACTGGTGGAGTACATCTGTGACAGCTTAAATATTTTCTAGTGCACCGCGAAAATGAAACGAAGCAAAGTACGCAACATTTTTAGTAGTATTGCCTAATGCACGTAGACAAAATCTCCCTGATGGGGTTAAGTGTTAAATGACATGATGCCATGTTCTGCTTGGTCCCATCCTTGGCTACGCCGCACAATTTCTTTGAAAACTTGTTTGCATATTGTCTGAAATTTTGACCGTCATTGCAGGTCAGGTCATTGACATAGCCAAAGCCAAGCGATATTGAAAAACTTTCAGGTATCGCGCTGCTTTCATTTCAACTGTTCTTTTTAACCACTGAAAGTTATTATTTTTACGAAGCTTCGGGAATCGAAAAATATAAAGCGTATTACGGATGTGTCTGATTGACAATGATGCTGAAGACATGGACGCAGGGACAGTGTAGCGTTGCAAGGTCAACACCCAAACGTGTGCGGTCACCGATAGGTGGTGCCAACGAGTTTAGTGGTGTGTGAGAGGCATCAGGTATCTATTGAGAACCGTGAGCGTCTCGAGAGGTTAGTGCATTGTTTTTATGTGTAGCAATAGTATGAGTGTTTTGTTTGCCAATAGATGATGGCTAATGTAGCTACGCTTGGCGGTTCAATGATATTGCCAATCATAACTAGGTAGAACGTTGCTGGTACGAAATAATATAGCTGTCCCGAGCCATGGCGCTAGTACATTATCATTTCAACACCCCGAATACCCCGAGACACGGCGCACTGTTGAACTGAAAACGCCGTCGCAGTCTGGTGGAACATATCCACAGGTAGCAGAAGCCACGATGGCCATATGTGAAACACAGACAGGCTCCACTACCCATCTGCCTTCCCTTAACCCCCCCCCCCCCGCCCCTCGGTCTCGTCTGAGTCAACTACGCGGACCCAGACGAAAAATGCCGTCGAGTCGCCCCTGGCTGGACGCTCGGATGCGCAGCCGCCCGTGCACCCCCGTCCCCAGGTTGACTGGCGTTCCAGCCCGCCGGCTATGCGTGACACACGTGCGACTCAAGCTGTCTGGCGTCCCAGCCCTCCGGCTATGAACAGTGGGCGGCCCGGTCCCTCTGGGCACCACACGAACGTTACCCCCCCCCCTTCCCTCCCCCACCACAATACCTGTCGTAACACGCCCGAACGAAGACCGCTGGTCCCGTCCATCAGTGAGGGCGGCGATGGGACGGCCTCGGTCCGTCTCGTTCGAGCGATTCCCATCAACCGGTGGGAATGGGTCCCTTCATAACTAAATGTCCTTCATATTACAGTGGAACTGTCGCGGTCTGATCTCAAAATGGTCTGAAATGAAAACACCTTTTGCCGTATCAGTTTCGATCATCATTGCCGTACAGGAAACATGGTTTCGTCCCACCGACACATATAACTTTAAAATGTCGAGTTACTCGTTGTACCGCTGTGACACCACGGACGGTGAGCGTCGCCAAGGTGGGGTGACATTGTACATCAGTCAAGAATTAACACAAACACCACTCACTCTTAACACACCTGTTCAGGCTGTTGCATGTTCAGTTCAGCTGCATAGCCGTACCTTCGATATATGCCCAATATACATTACACCAAATTAGAACAATACGGAGCTCTTAAGGCAGCTTGACTAACTTGTTGCCAAATTTCAAAACCCTTTTCTCATCCTCGGCGATCTCAACGCTCACAGTCCAACGTGTAGTAACGGCACCCAAGCCGTTGATCGCCGAGGACGTTTGGTGGAACATGTTACTGATGCACACAATTAAGTGCTGCTAAACAAAGATAATAATACTTATCACCACCCACCCACTGGAACAGAAACAGCCATTGACTTGTCGTTGTGCTTTCCCTCAACAGGAACTTTCTTTGATTGGACTGTTGAGGGAGATGTCCAAGAGAGGGACCATTTTCCAATTAAACTTTACACCACTTTTGATACTGCTGCTGATACAATTCCTCGACATCTAACACGTTGGAATCTGCGCAAGGCATATTGGACCAACTTTCAAGAACTTTGTTTTGGCAACCAGGATTGCTATGATTTACCAGAGCAGGGAGCTGATCTTATCACACATATTCATTCTGCAGCGACCGCGACAATTCCACTGGCAAAATTCTTCCCACGACGCCTCCCTGTGCCGTTGTAGGCAGATAAAGTTAAAAAGCCATTGCGAGACATAAACGTGCCTTTCGCAGTTTTCGACGCAATCACGATATTTTTCATTTACTTGTCCGCAACTCTGAACGCGCACAAACCCAGAAAGCCATAAGAACCGCAAAACATTACTTTCTCCTGGCTAACTTTTTTACGACAGTTTACAGCAGCCACACCGCTAAGAAAAATGCGAGGATTAGTTCGTTCACT